GCTTCTGAATCTTAGGAATACGGGTAGAACCACCCACCAGGACAATGTCATGGATCTGTGACTTGTCAAGCTTGGCATCTCTAAGGGCTTTCTCCACAGGGTCCAGGGTGCCTCGGAACAAGTCAGCATTCAATTCTTCAAATCTGGCACGGGTGATAGAGGTATAGAAGTCGATGCCTTCATATAGAGAATCAATTTCAATACTGGCCTGGGTGCTGGAAGAGAGAGTGCGCTTTGCACGTTCACAAGCAGTGCGTAGGCGACGGACAGCTCTCTTATTCTCACTGATGTCTTTCTTGTGCTTGCGCTTGAACTCAGCAATAAAATGATTGACCATTCGGTTGTCAAAATCTTCTCCACCCAAGTGAGTGTCTCCAGCTGTCGATTTTACCTCAAAGATGCCATCTTCAATAGTGAGGATTGACACATCAAACGTGCCACCTCCCAAGTCAAAGATCAGCACATTTCTCTCAGCACCAACCTGCCAATAAAAAATTTGTTAATCTTTCATTAAAGTTACTAATGATTTATGAGTTATTTGAAGTGTCACAAAGGCTACTAGATACCTTTTTGTCCAAGCCATAGGCAATTGCAGCAGCAGTTGGCTCATTGATGATTCGAAGTACATTGAGGCCAGCAATGGTCCCTGCATCTTTGGTAGCCTGGCGCTGAGAGTCATTAAAATAAGCTGGTACAGTGACAACAGCATTGGTGACAGTCTAAGTGAGAAAAGAGAAAATGCCAACTTTTACTTGGTGCTTTATAACCCTCTACACAGGCAGGCATTCACATTTCAGAGTAGCACAATTAACAGTTGGTAATTGGCTTCCACCTACCCTTACCAACTTCTATTTACTACCCCAATGCATAATAATCCTAGACACGCACCTTCCCAAGATAGGCTTCTGCAATTTCCTTCATCTTTGTCAGAACCATAGAGGAGACCTCTTCTGGATAAAAGCTTTTTGTTTCTCCCTTATATTCTACTTGGACCTTGGGCCTGCCTGCATCATTCACCACCATGAAGGGCCAATGTTTCATATCAGACTGGACAACTGCATCATCAAATCTTCGTCCAATCAGACGTTTGGCATCTGAAAAAGTAACCCAAATACCCCGTTAACTCTATTTTGTTAATACTGCACATTTCTGATGAAAAACCAACTTTGCTCATAGAAGCCACAAGTTCTACTACCAGTTTGTCATCAAAATTACCAGGTGCCTCAGTGGACAGCACTGTAAAATCCTTTTGGCAACTTGAGTCTGTTCTAAACTAACGATATCCTTTCACTTTCCCAAGACATGTTTTGTATGGACATTTTAATGTTTTAAAATTGCTTACCAAAAACCGTGTTTGTGGGATTCATAGCAACTTGGTTCTTTGCTGCATCGCCAATCAATCGTTCCGTGTCCGTAAAGGCAACATAGCTTGGGGTGGTCCGGTTGCCCTGATCATTTGCAATTATTTCCACTTTTCCATGTTGGAAAACACCCACGCAGGAGTAGGTGGTGCCAAGATCAATGCCAACAGCGGGTCCCTTAGACATGATCGCTACTACAAAAAAACAAAACAAAAAAATTAACCCGGCCTAGAAAATAAGCGTATCTTATTTATCTTTTCAGTAACTTCATCGGCCATGCTGAAACTATGCTTTAGGCCTTTATTGCCTGCCACCGCGTTGCCCTAGCCTAGGGTAGCCACGTGGGAAGGGGGGGTGTCGGCCCAGGGATGCTGCAGTTGGGGTTGCCGTGCCAACGGCCGCAGCACAAGGCCGCGGTGGGAGCCATCTGCCGGCGTCTGCGCACGTCCCCGAGCACGTGGCCTGCCCAGCCCCTCCCCACGCGCTCGCTTCAGGAAGCGTATCCCCCACGCCCGCGCCCCAACTCTCTCCCAGCAGAGCATTGTGAACAGAAAGTGGCGAGCTTTCCACAGCCTCCAGGCCGAGAAATAAAGGAAGCCCGCCGCCCCACCCGTCTGGAGGCGAGCTAAGTCCACCAGCACCCCCGCTCCGAGAGCGGATGCGGCAGCCCGCCGGCACCACGCGGTCCCCGGAGCAGGGACCGGAGCCGCCATGACAGCCTGTCCTACTGCTCCAGCCGGGCCCCGCGGAGGCCACCATCGCCCCTCCACCGGGATTTTTTAAAATTGACTACCGAGTGCTTAAGCAACCCAAAACTCCAATGCTCAGCAGTAGGGTTAATAAAAATCGTCCTCTATCTGGCCCCAGGACTAATCTCAGTGTTTCCACAAACTACAGTAAAGGCTAAATTTAAGACTTACCTCTGCGTAGATGGCTGACCAGGTGAAGTTAAAAAAAAAAAAAGAGTAGACTACGGAGCTGCCGCCGTGCTAAATGAGACCGGTTTCCGCCCGCCACCCTGTCTCTTATACCCTACCTCAGAACCTTCCAGAAGCGCCCGCCCCTAACGGCTGCCCATCATGGCCATGCTCACCAATAGAAATTCAGACCGGTCTACACGAACCAATGGCTGACAGGCTCTACCCATCGGGCCTCGCCCCCTCCCGCCTCCTTCCACCCCTCCTTCCGATGACGCACACGCCGCAGCGTTCTGGAACTTTCATTTGAGCCCCCGCCCTCGGAACGGCCCCGGGGAAAGGGAGGGTGGAGTCCTAGAATGCCCGCGCGCGGGAGTCCTCAGTCACCCCTGGTGGAAACGGAAGGGGGCGCCGTCGCCTCTGCGCATGCGCGCCCTCCAGCGCGCCGGCGGGAGCCGACGGCAGGAAGAAGGGCGGGCACACTTGGAGCCAGCCAATGGTACCAGCCGTCACTGCGGTCTCGGGCCGCGCCGAACCTGCGGAGCAAGACCGGAGGGCCCCCAGGGAGGAGTCCGGGTGCTGCGCTCCCTGGGAGGAAAGGCGGAAGTGCAGCGAGGACAAAATGGCCGCGAAGGTTGTTGCGCCCTTCCCCCACCGGAGTCTCCCTTCACCCCCCCACCCGGGCTGAAAGGCGACCCTTTGCTGCTTTCAAACTCCGCGTGCCTGTATTTCGTAGCGCGCAGGGCCTTTGGCTAAGGCCTTCCAGCTCTGGGGCGCTAAGGTACCCTGCTCAGGGGCAGCGTGACCTGTGGTTGGCGGACCAAGGCTCCGCGGGGTGTTAGCCGCTGCGCGACGCAGGCTTCCAGGACCCTCTTTCTCCTGGAGTCTTTGTTTGTAGGACCTTTGATGAAAAACCAGCTGCTTGGAGCCCGGGCGCGACCCCCTCGGCCCCTCGCCCCCTCGCCCCCCATAACCGAGTGTGTCTTGGTTCGGCCGTTCTCCAGCCTGTACATTTCTGTTACTTTTCAATGAAAAGGAAAAAAACAATAGCGAGCTTTTTCCATGGGAGTAAGCAAGCGTTAGAAATTCTAGATTTCCGGTGGCCCGCGTCCTTGATTGCACTTCCTGAGCCTTTGTCTTTTCAGTACCACGAGGCAGCATCTTCATGGCTTAGCCTTGTATCAAGAAGTAAACGCTAGAACGTGCAAAAACGCGTGAGAATGTTCATGAGCGAGTGCCTAAAACAGTGGTGGCTACAACTTTGAAATTAATTGCCTCGTCATTGAGTACTCTCCGATGTCTTTTCAAATTGGGCGGGCAGTTGGGATTTTAATATACTGAGTAAGCAGGCACAGAGTAAGTGAGGAGATTTTGATTTTTAAGGCTACCTTAACGGAATTTAGTGGCAGAGCTGAAAGCTGGAAGATCCCCGGAACAATGCCGGAAAAAGCTGTCTGAGGAGGAAGGACGCCTTGCCCTTGTCAAAGCCGCAAAAAGCCCGCAGGCAGACATGGAAAAGGAGCTTCTGCTCATGTTCAGTGCCCTTTGTGGGCAATGTTGACTTGAATCCATGGAAGTATATGCTTCTCCCCCTCGTTCCAATAAGTTAATTTGTGTAATGTTTTGCCCTGTGTAAAATACCTTCCCCCACCCCCGTTGTTTGGACCACTGTGATCTATAGGGTTTTTATTGGCTGATTTCTTTTTTAATCATTTTATTGGGGGCTCGTACAACACTTATCACAATCCACACATCCATCCATTG